AGAAGAAAAAAAGACGGCTAAGAAGCATCTTAAAAGGGATTCAACATGATTAGTAATTAGGGAAATACAAATTAAAACCACTTTAAGATTTCATCTTACCCCAAGAGGCCAAACGATACCAAATGTTGGAGAGGATGTGGGGAAAAGAAATGTTCATCCACTGCTGGTGGGATAGCAAGCGTGATCAATCCCTATGAAAGCAGTGTGGAGAACTCTTAAAAAACTACAAATGAAGGGGCTGGGGACTTAGCTCAGTAGTAGAGTGCTTGCCTAGCAAGCGCATGGCCTTGAGTTCGGTCCTCAGTTCTGAAAATAAAAAAGGGGAAAAAAAAAAAAGACAAAATAACAAAAAAACTACAAATGAGGGGCTAGAGAGATGGCTCAGTGGTTAATTGCACTGACTGCTCTTGCTGATGACCCAGGTTCAATTCCCAACACCCATATGGCGGCTACAAACAGTCCTTAACTCCAGTTCCAGGGGAATCCAAAGCCCTCTTCTGACCTCCGTGGCATTGCACAACATAGGTATACTCACATACATGCAGGAAACACACTCATACACATAAAATAAAAATAATAAAATATTTTTTAAAACTACAAATGAACCTACCATTTGACCCAGTTATACCACTCCTTGGCATATACACAAGGAACTTATCCTATTGCAGAAACACTTGTACATCCATGTTTGTTGCTGCTCTTTTCACAATAGCTAAAAGATGAAAAGAGCCTAAATGTCCTTCAGCTGACAAGTGGATAATGAAAATGTGGTTCATTTATACGATGGAGTTCTACTCAGCAGTAAAGAAAGATGAAATAATGAAATTTGCAAGTAACTGGATGGAACTAGAAACTGTTATACTAAGTAACACAGACTCAGAAAAACAAATGACGTATGTTCTCCATCATATGTGGATCCTAGCACCAAATCCTTATAAGTGAGTATGTAGCCAGACATAACTACAGAAACCAGGATAATGAAAAGAAATCAGAGAGGTAAAGGAAAAGAAAGAACCTGAAAGAGGAGAACATAGGAAACAGGTATTAATAAAGGGGATATGGATAAAAATGGGGTTATTTTAATGGGTGGGGGGAAGGAGGGTTATACAAGGAACCTTGGGGATAAAGGGAAAGAATGAGCTCAATGAAGGAGAGGCCATAGGAGAAGGGTATTATTAATGGAGAAATGGGGAAAATGGGGCAACCATGGTGGAAGGGTTAGACAATGAGAGAGAGAACTAATTCCTAGCTAGTTTTTTAAAAATAAACAGAGGGAACCATATTAGTCCAACAACCTACTAACAAATTATACATACAACTAGCTCAAGGAACATAATATATGTCTAGTCAAGGTTTACTGGAGAATGATTGGTTTTTTCTCAAGCTTTACCTACATAGTGCATGGTAATTAAAAGTACCAGAGTGGTGGAACTAACCTTCTTGGATGTTTTAACAGCCATACTTTGAGACCTATACTAATCTAGTCAGAGGGACTTAAAAGTACAATTTTTGCTCCTTGCCCTCCAAGGTTGACTAAGTTCCAGGGAACTAGGGATCATCTCTCAAAATGTCCTATAACAGTGGTGAGTCACCTGTCCTCTTGATCAAAGAGGCCCTGGAGACCCCACCAGACAGACTTGAACCAGTGTCCAGTCTACAGAGAGGAGGGTCAACACAGAGGAATCATTTCCTCTATGCTTCCAAGTGAAGCCAGCCACATTCGAGCAGGAACTTTGACTTATTTTCACACAGATGGATGTGGTAAAAGAAAGGAGCCAGGGGCTCCTCCCAAGCCCATGTGAGCCCCGAGGAACAGATCCTCAAATGACCTTAAGAGTAAAAATAAATTGGTTAATCTGGGCCAACTGTATGGTCTTAAACACCCAAAAGGAAAAGTATAACCAAAGATTAAAGTGACTAGTATAATTCTTTAAGAGTCCATGTATATAGCTAAAGGCTACATAACAAGAAACAATGCCAGACAGGAGATATGTTCCTTTGAGTTATTGGCCAGAGTGGCTCAAGAGACTCCCAGACAGTAACCCAGCATAGAACTGGGAAAATGAACAGCAGACCCTAATCTTATCTAAAGGAATGTTGGTAACTGATTGCTGCTAGATGAGGAAGAGCTGATCTTCCTAGAACAAGGCTCTCTAGATAGGCTGATCAGATTCAGTGGATGGACTTGCACAGGGTAAGGGCTGGGGGCCCTGATAACACAGTGGACAGTAACAGGGATGACAGAGTATATGGGCTCCAGTAGGGGGGTGGCAGGGGCTATGGGAGGGTCCCATTTGGGATTCAGGTACAAAGATGAATAAGACTGGGATGTTCTATATGAAATACACACAAAAAATCTATAAAAAATAGTAAGAAAATAATAAAAAGTAAATAAATAATGTTCCCATTTGTATTTCTTTGTGGAACAATCAGAAGAGAACAATCTTCTGAATGTCTAGGTGATTTTAATTGCCAAGGAAAGAAATGGGAATTCCTACCACTTACAGAATATTATTCAAGCAAATCTTTCAAGCTACTTGTCTTTAAGTCTAGATATTTCACATATACCTCATGCCTAGAATAGCAATGACTAGGTCTGATTTTGATTCAGATGGATTTTACAAAGCCAGTAAGCTTAGTATTAGTTTTACTTAAGCTAAGAAGGAGGAAAAAAAAGAAGGAAGGGGGAAAGGAGGACAAGGAAGGGGGAAAGGAGCAGATTTTATGGTTACCATTTTTATTGCAAAGAATGTTCATCTAAATGACAAAATTTCAATATTTATAGTAACAAAGGAAGCAATCAATAACTTGAATAAATAATCTGCAGTCTACTTTTATTCAACAGGCTTTTAGTTTAAAATAAGTCTACTACCTAATGAATCAGGCTGAAGAAAGGAAGATATTTCAAATGTGAAAAGAAAAAAGTGACATGTAAGAATCTGGATCCTTATATCACATTATATACAAAAAAATAAACTCTAAATATATAAAAGATCTAAATTAATAATTAATTATAACTCTCAGAATAGAATGGATGAGGAAATTCAAATACTCTGGATTATGCAATGGTTTCTTAATGTAGGTATTAAAAGTCTAAGAAACCAACAATAAATTGCACTTCATGGAAACTAAAATTTTATTTAACAAAGTAAAGCTAGCAGTGCCTGTGAGATTACTCAGTGAGTAAGGAGCTTGCTTCCAAGTCTGATGACCTGAGTTTGATCCCTGGAAGTCACACAGTGGAAGGAAAGAACTCACTCCTGTAAGTTCTCCTATGACCTTCACACGTGTACCATGGGACACATGCTCACGTCTGAGCACATGTGCGTGCACAGACACATAATACATAAATATAAACAAAATTTTAAAACTGAAAAACATAAAGCCAGCATACAACAATGGAATTTTATTCAGCATAAAAATGAAACTATGAGGCTGGGCGTGGTGGCACATGCCTTTAATCCCAGCACTTGGGAAGCAGAGGCAGGTGGATATTTGTGAGTTGGAGGCCAGCCTGGTCTACATAGTGAGTTCCAGGACAGCTGGGGCTACAGGAGACCCTGTTTCAAAAAGACAAAAAAAAAAAAAGAAAGAAACTATGAAATTTTCAGGAAAATGGATAGACTAGAAACGCTTAGATTAAGTGAGGTAACATGGTTCGCTCGCTCTCATATATATATATATACACACACACACACACACACACACACACATATATATATATATATATACTGAAGTCTAAATGTTAAATTTATATTTCACTAGAATTAAGTGCTTATTGAAGCCAGGAAACTTGACAGGGGCTCATGAGACAGTAAAACGACAAGTCAGGAGATGGGATGGGGAGGGCATTAGAATACATGAGAGATGAAAAAGAAAAGAGGAATTACTGGGTGCCAAGGAGACAAAGAGGAAAAGTGAAGCAGGGAGATCCGAAAAGGACAAGAGATTACATCTGTATTGAATATGTACAGACATTTTTCTTGCCATTATTTCTTCAAAATTATATGTACAGTGTATTAAAAATTCTAAATGATAATCTAAAAACAAAGAAGGTGAAGCCAAAGGTGGTTAAACATTCCTAAGGCTATTGAACTAATTAATTTTTTTCATTGTGTGTTTATAGTGTATGTGTGCATGCAAATACATATGCATGTATGGATGGCAACAAGAGGTGACATGAGGTGTCTTCCTCTATTGAGCTGACATGAGGTGTATTCCTCTATTACTTTCCACCTTGGCTTCTGAGACAAAGCCTCTCACTGAATCTGTAAATCACTGATAAGTTAGACTAGTTGGCAAGCAATTTAGAGGGATTTGCTTGTCTCTGCCCTCTGCACCCCAACCTCCCTGCGCTGTGGTTACAGGAATGTGCCACCACACCTAGCTCTTACATGGGTGTTGGGGATGTGCATGCAGGTCCTCATACTAGCACAGCAGACTCTTACTGACTGGGCCATCTTTGTAGCCTGCTCCATTTCTTCTTAAGCAACAAGTGCTCTTAACTGCTGAGCCATCTCTCCAGCCCTCCTTTTCTTTTTAGTCACACATGTTTTCTAATTTCAAAATGAAGTTTTCAGTTATCCCAGATCAAAGAACCTTCCTAAATAGTCTCAGTAAATACTAAAAGATTCATAATAGCTGGCATAGTATTAACTGTTGGAACAATGGAAAAATAGACTCTCAAGAAAATCCACAATTTTTAGAAAATATATTATTTTTATTTATGTGGATGAGTGTATTGCCTGCAAGTATGTAGGAGTACCTGTGTCATGCAATGCCTGTGTAAATCAGAAGAGTGCTTCGAATATCCTAAAACTGGAGTTAGGGATGGTTGTTAGTAACCATGTGGGTACTGGGAGCCAAACCCTAGTCTTCCGCAGGAGCAGCCAGTGCTCTTTACTGTTGAGCCATCTCCCCAGTCCCCCATAATCCACAATTTTACAATCTCATTTCTTAGAACAAAATAATTTTAAATTCTTTTAAATACTCATACATACATGTTTACTCCGGCTGTTAAGTCTTCTTCAAGAAGTTCTAATTTATCTTCCTCCACATCACCAACTTTAACTTGTTTCACTACTTCCAAAAGCAATGAATCATTGGAAGGCTGTAAGTAATGCACACCTATTTAAACAAAAAGTATTTATTAAAAAGAAGTATCAATTAGTATTAGAGCACTTCTATATCTTCTAACTTAAATATACACAATATATAAGAAAGTTGGAGCTGGAGAGATGGCTCAGTGGTTAAGAGCATTGGCTGCTCTTGCAGAGGACCGGGGTTTGGTAATGTAAGAATAAACTTTCTTCTTGGCTACTGAAATTCCGTAATTTATAAGTGATCATGTTCCAAAAGACACTTTACAAACTAGCTATTTGGAAATCCTAATGGGCTTTCTATTAAAAATTTTATTTCAGGGACTGGAGAGATAGCTCAACCATTAAGAGCATTGGCTGCTTTTGCAGAGGATAGGGATTCAATTCCCAGCACCCACATGGCAGCTAACTATCCTCCATAACTCCAGTTCAGGGGATCCAATGACAGATAGGAATGTTGGAGAGAGCTAGCAGGTGGCAAGGATGGAGGAAGGCACTGAGGCACAGATGGAATTCTCAGCGGGATACAGATTTATTTCGCACGGGGCACCTTTCCCTCAGGGAAGGGAAAGATGTCAGGGAAAGATGCCAGCCCACGGGTTGTGAGCTGGGACTATATATGGGGGCTTTAGGGTGTGGAAGGGGAGAATGTTTGGGGGAGAAATCAGGGAGGGGGAAGCAGGAAAAGCCTGGCTCCGTTCAGTCTGCCAGGTGGGATTAGGGTCTGGAAGTGTTTACTTTTTCTCTCTTAAGATAAGAGAAAAGCTTGTTGTGATAAACAACTTCTAAAATCTCTGGTTATCAGGTAGAATCTGCTTATCTTATCTTTGGAGATCAGAGGAAAGGCAGGCTGCTTGTCAGCAGTTTGTTTCCCTTGACTCCAAAGGTCAAGGTGAGGTCCCTGTTGGGGAGGGGGGAAACTGCTGCTGTTTGGAACCCTAACAATGACCTCTTCTAACCTCTATGGGCATGGCATGACATGGGTGCACTTATTTACATGCAGGCAATATACTCATACACATAAAATAAAAATAATAATATTTCAAATAAATTTTTATAGAAAAGTCCATAATATAAACACCAGTCTGTAAATTTGCAATGAGTTACTTAGAAAGCAGTACTAGAAAAGTAAAATAAAATACTTTTTAAAATAAAAGAAAACCCTGAATTTGGTACCTGATCAAAATATTTATCATAAGTAAGCAAAATTAATCTGCACTTAATTCTGAAGTATGCATACTTCAGGGAGCTATTTTATAGGTTTAAAGGCTGCTTCTACTGGATTTTTACTACCTTCAATTTCACAATGAAATGTACAATATTTTCCCTATCTGTATAGTTTTATTGTTCCCACTATGCTTAGTAATAATTTTTTTTTTTTTTTTTGGTCTTTTTGAGACAGGGTCTCCCTGTAGCCCCAGCTGTCCTGAAATTCACTATGTAGACCAGGCTGGCCTTGAACTCACAGAGATCTGCCTTCCTCTGCCTCCCAAGTGCTGGGATTAAAGGCGTGTGCCACCACGCCCGGCCCATAATAAAATTTTAAGAATATGTAATGAGCAGAACTGAAATGAAAACAGGAGAAAGGACATTGGTTTTACTGACTAAAATAACTGAGATCAAGAAAAAAGGGCACAAAGTTCTACCTATATTCATGTATAGAGGGATGAGGAGAGGGAGTGGGGATACTGACAAAGAAAAGCCTACACTACTGGTTGCTGCAATATAAGATACAATAGAAACACTATTTTGCATTAATGGAAAAAAATCATCATATGTGATTTATTGAGAATATAGGCACCTAAATGACAGGCACTATGGCTTTAATTTTGTAGTATCAAGTGTATTGGTCAATATGTTAAATTTTTTTAAAAAATCTAAAAATTGGCACTCATTTCCCTAGGCCAGCTGGTGCTACAGGAAGACCCTGTCTCAAAAATATATTTTATAAAAAGGAAATAAAATAAATAAAAGCAGGCTATAAAACAAAGTTCTAACTTGGGAAGTTTTTAACTAAAAACACTAATTATATCTAACAGTCTAAGAGAGAGGGGCATTGCTTGGCAAATCGTGTCAAAACATATCAGTTCATATGAAATACAGTTAATTTTTTGTTTTGTTTTTGCTTTTTTTGAGACAGGGTCTCTCTGTAGCCCAGTTGGCCTGGAACTTACTATGTAGAACAGGCTGACCTCAATTTCACAGAGACCACCTGCCTCTGCTTCCCAAGTTTTGGGATTAAAGGCATACAATATCATGCTTGGCAAAATATAGTAAAATTTAATAGCGAAAATATTTGGGTATTCTTCGGAATTTTACACTCAATGGAAAAACAAACTCAAATGTAGGCGAAATGTGAATACAAAGAACCATTTATATATCGGCTTTAATATGCTACACCTCTTTCTTCATAAGTAAACATCTTAAAAATAACCAGACAATACCAGCCCACTAACATCATCTCTATAATATATAAGCAGATACTAGAACTCACCTAAATTATCTCTTAAGGCACTAGCCTCCTCATGTGTTTTGAAATTGTAATTCGGCACCAGTTTAAGTCTCATGCGGGAATAATTTTCTACATTAGCTAGTTTCCAGTGAATTCGATTCAGTTTCCTAGAAACATTCATAATAAAGCAAGTGAAATTATTTAGAGTTACAAAGACTGGTTGGTTAAAAGGACGTACAAAAGTAGCATGTACTTCTCAATTATTTAGCAACATTTTCAAAATGTTTAAGAGGTAGGGCTATAGCTCAATGGTAGAGCACTTGCCTATCATGCACAAAGCCCTGGGTTTGATTCCAGGAAAAGTAAAGTTGGTATAAATTTTGAGGAGAACAGTAGAGTGGAAGATAAATGAAAATAAGTACAATGACATATATGTATGCAAATGTATAATGAAAATTATTTTGAATACTAACAATTAATTGAAAAATTTACTATTCAAATTTATCATCCTGACAATGGTCTAGAAAATTAAAATATATGTGAATTTGAATACTAACAATTAATTGAAAAATTTACTATTCAAATTTATCATCCTGACAATGGTCTAGAAAATTAAAATATATATGTGAAGCTACAGTTTATACACAAGGAACATCCTGTATAAATTATTTACCCAAAATTTCATGAGGTTTACTGGTAAATAACTAAGACTTAAACACAGACTTTCAGACTTAAAGCTTGATTACTCTTTTACTAGTAAATGGAAGTTCATAACCATAACAATATAGTTCTAAATACAATATTAAAAGTAATTTTATTACAAATAATGACACTATAATTATATACAAATGAATCAGGGATCTAAATATAAGAGCAAAGACTGAAAAAGTCTTAGAAGAAAAGATAAAGGTAAAGTTTTATGATCTTGGACTTGGGTATGTTTTCTTAAATATGCTACCAAAGAACATGCAAGACAAGGAAAAAACCCTGAATTTTTATCAAAATTGGTAACATTTGTATAACAAAGGCCACTACCAAGAAAGTAAAAAGATAATCTACATATTAGCAAATCATCTGATGGGGGTCTATTATTGGGAATATATATATACATAAATAAGAAGTAAAACAAATGAGCAAAGGAAAGGAGCCAATATTTCTCCAAAAGATGACATATAAATAGATAACAAGCACATGGAAAGGTGCTCAATATAATTAGTTATTAAGATAACAGAAAGCAAAATTGTAAGATACTACTTTGCATCCACTAGGAGGGCCATTTGAAAAAATTAGAAAATGGGGGATGGGGAGATGGCTGAGCATCTAAGGGCACTGGCTGCTCTCACAGAGGACCCAGGTTCAGCTCTCAGCACCCACAAGGTGGGTAACAACTTTCAGCAACTCCAGTTCCAGGGGATCCAACATCTTCTTCTGAACGACATGACATGAGCACTGTACATACAGGTGCACTTACACACATACAGATCAAATACTCATATACATAAAAAAATAAATCCAAAGTATTTTTTAAATCAGAAAATGACAAGTATTGGTCAGAATGAGGAGAAATGGGAAAACAAATACTAGTTACTGGGAACAAGAAATGATGGAGCAGTTGTGGAAAAGTGACAATTCTTTGATAAATGAAACATGGACTATGAGCCATCAATTACACTTGTGTTATATACTCAAAAGGATTAAAAGTAAAAACTCAAACCAACACTTACACAACTGCTCATAGCAGCACTAATCACAGTACCTCAAAAGTAGAAAACTAGCCTTAATCCCACCCTTGGGGGGTAGAGACAGGTGGCTATCTGAGAAATTGAGGCCAGCCTGGTCTACATAGTGACTTTCAGGCGGACTGAGACTAGAGAGATCCTGTCAAAAACAAACAAAAAAAGTAGAAAACTAAATGTTTACCCTTTCATTAGCTGATGAAAACATAAAAAGTGAATAGCTATATAATATTTATTATTTAGCCATAAAGAGGAATGAAGTACTGATATATATATATATTTGCATAAAACTTTAAGCTCAGAGTTCTAAGTAAAAAATAATATGGGGGCTGGAAAGATGGCTCAAAGGTTAAGAACAGTGGCTATTCTTGCAGAAGACCCAGGTTCAAATCCCAGCACCCACATGGTTGCTAACAACTGTCTGTAACTCCAGTTCCAGGAGATCCAACGCCCTTTTCTATCCTCCATTGGGTACTGCATGACACGGGTGCACTTATACACATGCAGGCAACACACTCATTCACAAAAAAATAAAAATAAATCAAAAAAATTTTAAATAGTAATAAATTATATGTACCTACCTTTCAGCCCAAGGGCCTCTTTCACTTGTAAGATAGAGCCTTATTGCCTTCCAGCATCTAAGGGCAGCCAACTGCTGACTGCTAAGTTGTTTAAGCATATTATTGTACCTTAAGTTCTCTTGGCGTGCTTTTCGATTAAATGGCTCCACAAAAAACTCCTGAAAGAATAAGAGCACTGAGTAATATATTTAAATTTAACCAATAAAATAATTCTAAGAAAAAGGAGCTGACAATTATTTCTCATTGATGATTTTGTTCCTAACCAGAAAGTGCTGCTCAGATGCAAGACTTCAAATCTTGGTCTCCAATACTGTAGTGCCCACCTGTAGCTAAGGGAGACAACCTGCTATTGTTCTAAAATGATGGATAAATTTGTTTTCTCCCCCTATCTAGAAGCCTTTGAGAGGGAACTGACACTGATTCTAACCACTCCAACAGCTATCAAAATACCTGAAAGCAAATCCTGAATCCATCACTCTAGAGTCCAGCCTTGGAAGACAAATGAAAAATGAGGAAGAACCCAACAGAGGGATGCTTTTGGAAGCCCTGTCAGGAAATTCCAATGGACTCTCATGAACATTTAAAAATTGCCCTGTTCTGACTTTTTTCTAGTTCCCTGTCTAGACACTTGTAATATA